CTTTGTGAGGGCTTCCACTCCTGCTCCTGCCCTGATTGCTTTCATTCCCTCTGACTCCTGAAGGTTTACCATCTACCCACCTCTGTGTCACGTAACTATATACTCTCTTGTGAGCGTATCTTACCTTCCTAACGGGGTTATAAGCTCCTAGATGGCAAGGGCGATGTCTTATCTTCCTTCTGATTTCCTTTGGTATTGAGTGCAATATGATTTAAATTGAAAGTGATCAAAAAGCTTTTTCAATGAAGATTCCATTTTTATAACACTGCATTTCTGTAAATATTAGGATAAGTGGGCTTAGTGGAAATTTCAGTTAATTTAGACTTTTTATGTACAAGGATGCCAGGGAAGGCCTTTTATCATATTGGATCATAAGTTGTCAAGGAGGAGGATTAATAAGATGAAATTTTCAGAAAAAAAGGTATGGCGTATCTCTATTTCCTGTATTTGGGGTCATAGACTATACTCTTAAGCTTAACCTTTTGCCCAGATAGGATCAAGCAGGGTACGGATGGTTAAAATAATCAACTTGAAATTACTGCATACTCACAACATGTTTATTCTGTTGCACTTAAAAGAAACAAATACCAGCTAACTTAACAAAATAATTTACTATGTTAGCTCATAGAATGAAATGGAAGGCTGGAGAAACCAGGCTTGGGTATCCCTAGGGAGCAAAGGTAGTAGGATCTGACAGAGGGTTTCTTTAATGCACCACCACTGGGATCAATAAACTCCAAATATTTTTCTTTTATTAGAGGATTTCACTTGAGATTCAGGATCCTGGGAGAGAGGTCCTACTGGCCTTGTTTGGATCAGGTTCTACTCCATAGGTCAAGATCAAGGAACCTTGAATAATGGTCCCACCAACCATCTACCCATGAGGAAGATCCACGTGCTCCAAAGGAAATTGAGTACCATTACAGCAGGGAGGAAAGGCTAGTCTATTTGTGAAATCACCTTGCAGAACATAGAATATCAGAGAACTAGCAGGTGGGCAACATCTAAGGAATAGCGGAAAGTACGGGAGAAATGTGTTGCCCTGACAGAAAACAAGAAATCACTAAATGGTATTTTTCACCATGTTCTCTTCAGGCTACAAGTATCTCAAACTATGTGACAATTAAAGGTCAGAAGCTCTTAGCCAACCCTTTATAAAAACTTGTCTTTCTAGTCTAAGTTGATATATATGGAAGCTTTGTATTTCAAAGGTTTGCTCTCCCAAATATTTACTGTGAGAAGAATTTCTCTGGCTTCTGTCCTATGTGTTGAAATGTCACCCGAGGCGAGGCAAAGCAGAACAAAGCAAGGCAAAGGTACTTGGTGTATAAAGGCATTTCTGTCTACTTCAGTTTGCAAACTGGCAAGGGAGATGTTCCTCACCCTTTCACTGCCTTCCCCCTGCCCTCCAGAAAATACTGGCTTTATTTATGATCGTGGTGCTGTGCTTTGTAAATGTGTACTTTTCCTGGAGTGCTGTAATTTGAAGATTTAAATGAAGGACAGTGTCTTATGCGTTTGTTTTTATACAGCCTTTTAGTCTCATTAGGTGTTTGGCTATTGCTATCATATATTATCTAGTTTAGGAAATTAAGGCTATCTTTTCTTTAAAAGGCATTCTAAACGGGAATTTCAGAGTACTACGTTGTCATTAGGAGGAACAGAATTTTATTATTTACTTTTACAATAGAGTAGGTACTGGAGAGAGTAAACTTCTGATGAAGGGGCATATCTGAACACTTCAGAGGGTTTCGATATTTGGAAGTTTAGAGTATTCTGTCTGCTAACACAATCATGTGTTCTGGGAGACTGGATTTTAGACTCCACGCTTTTGTGCACAAATTGTAATATCTTTCAGTTTTCAGTTATGAAATATTGAAAGTTAATTCGTACCAAATCCTATGGCGGGTGGTGACGTGATTTTTCCCCAGGGCTTTGAATGTCAAAATGGAGAGATTCACTGAGGCTCAGGTAAGTTGATGGGTGTAACTAGGACTCTCTAAGGTAGCCACATGCCTCACCATCTAATTAGGGATACGCATGAACGGATGAATGATATTCCTACTCTCTCTACCTATTATCTGTTGAAACTACAGCCAAGGGGATGGTTTGGCAAAAATCTGTGCGCAAAGAAGGCTGTTGAACCTGACTGTAAACCTGGCATGGTGAAGAGAGACAGGAGGTGAGGGTTAAGTGGGAGGCCCTGTTGGGGGCAGGAAGTTCAGGCCTGGGCCCTCCAAATCCATTGCTATGTAAACTGTTTCAGAACTTCGAAAGAATGAATGTTTCAAATTCCTTTAAAATATCATTTTGATACCAAAACCTAGTCAAAATTAAAAACAAAAAGAGACAAATCTCACTTATGAATTTAACCCTCCCTCAAATAGACTGACATAATCCAAGTAGGGGATGAACCAGGGAGGATTTAGTCTACTGATTCAAGTATGGTTCACTAGTAGAAATACAGATTTTGTTATATTCAAAATTAAAAGGAGCAAATCATAATTGTCTCCCTATGCACTGGAAATGCATTTCAGAAAAGTTTAATAAACATTCTTTATAATAGGGCTTCCCTGGTGGCACAGTGGTTGAGAGTCCGCCTGCCGATGCAGGGAACACGGGTTCGTGCCCCGGTCCGGGAAGATCCCACATGCCGTGGAGCGGCTGCGCCCGTGAGCCATGGCCGCTGAGCCTGCACGTCCGGAGCCTGTTGCTCCGCAACGGGAGAGGCCACAACAGTGAGAGGCCCGCGTACCGCAAAAAAAAAAAAAAAAAACAAAAAACTTTATTATAATACTCAAAAGTAGAAACTTTTTTTCTTAACTTTGTGAAATATATCTATCTCAGCCTTGGAAGCAGCACCATGAAGGACTCTGCGCTCTCACTGCCGAGGGCTCGGCTTCAATCTCTGCTCGGAGAGCTAGGACCCTACAAGCCTCGTGGCGCAGCCGCAAAAAAAAACGACTTAGTAGTTAAACAAATGTGATATGGTGAGTGAATAGACGGATCAGTGGAACAGAAAGAAAAATCCAGAAACACCCATATATTCCCAAGAATTAGATACGAATTACAAATGGCTTTTCACCTATGGAACGACACACATCGTTCAGAGAATGTTGAGAAATGCACATTAAAACTATAATGAAATACTGTTTTAAAGCGAACAAATCGGCAAAAATCAAAAGTTTCACAACACACCCAAAGTTGCTGGGGATCTTGTAAATCCGTTTAATCCCTTGAAGTCAATTTGCTAATGCTAATTACAGCTACAAATGTATATTTGTAATTGACTCAGCAATTCCTGACACGTATGTAGAAAGATAAATGTGTATGTAAGGTTATTCACTGCAGCATTGTTTTTCATTGGAAGCCATGGGGACTGGTTAAACAATTAAGAATTACTGGAACACAATGTAGCAGAAAGAAAGGATGAGGAAGGTTACTATGTATGCATTGCAAGGTATTTGTCAAGTGAAAAAAAGCAAGACACACACCAATGTATATAATATGCTATTTTTTTGTGTAAAAAATTAGAGGAGGGCTTCCCTGGTGGCGCAGTGGTTGAGGGTCCGCCTGCTGATGCAGGGGACACGGGTTCGTGCCCCGGTCCGGGAGGATCCCGCGTGCCACGGAGCGGCTGGGCCCGTGAGCCATGGCCGCTGAGCCTGCGCGTCTGGAGCCTGTGCTCCACAACGGGAGAGACCACAACGGTGAGAGGCCCGCGTACCGCAAAAAAAAAAAAAAAAAATTAGAGGAAATCTGTATATGAGTTAGCTTATGTACTCATAAATTAATTCTGGAAGGTTATAAAAGAAACAAGAAGCGTTGGTTACTGGTGGAGAGAATGAAGTTAGGTGGGAACTAGGTAGATGGAGACTGTATATTCGTTGTCATTTTTTTCATTTTTGAACCATGTGAATGTTTTGCCTATTCAATAAGGAAAACAAACAAACAAGTATACAGTCATATGTGTGTATTTAAGAAAGAAGACTAAGGATGCTCTCTATGTGTTGATAGGGAAGCGTTCCCGAGGATGTTAAGCGAATAAAACAAGGCATGGAATAGAATGTACAGTATCCACTTTTTGTTGAAAAAAGGAAATCTAAGACTGTTTGCTTGGTTTTGCTTGCATATTCATAAAGAAACTCTGGAAGGATACTCGAGTGTGAACATTGTGATGTGCTGCCTCCAGACCCCCTTAGGAATGAAAGATTTCTTGCTGAAGCAGCTGAAGGGCTGCTGACAGATGTCCTTCAGGGAACAAACCCCATGGGTAATGATTGCCTCTTTTGAAGAGAGTCACCTCACCTGAGGTCATGCCCCCTTCTGGGGTGGCCTGCAATCAGTGAATTAGCAACATGGGGGTGTGAAGGGCCAGCTTCCCACCCCCAACTCAGGGCAACTCTGAAGGGTCAGCCAGCTTTAGAAATCCCCTTCCTTAAGCTGCATGGTAATTTAACTTCTCCTGCTGCTGTCTGGTTTCTTCCATAGAAAGAGAACACTTTTAGTAAACCTCCCCTTGCTAATAAGTAAGAGTGTGTCCTGGGGAACTCAGCGTGCCACAGGAAACCAAAAACAGTGATTTCCTGTGCTTGGGTTGGGGTGGGAACCTGGTGAACGGGGGCAAGTTTGGGAAGAAGACTTTACACCCTACACTCTATGCCTTTTTGAAAAATTGAAGTATAGTTGATTTACAATGTCGTGTGAGTTTCAGGTGCACAGTGATTCCCAGTCTTTTTCCCTTCTAGGTTATTACAAAAATATCGAATAGAGTTCCCTGTGCTATACAGTAGGTCCCCGTTGGTTATCTATTTTATATATGGTAGTGTGTATATGTTAATCCCAAACTCCGAATTTATCCTTTTTATGATATAAAAAACATCTTTTTGGAAACATGTGGGTGTATTACGTATTCAAATCAGAAATCAAAATTTTAAAGTTAACTTGGTATATCGATGATATTTTATCCTTTTCCTCTTATATTTTTAGAGAACTTTTTTTATGTTTCAATTTGGGAGGAGATATTTTTAATCTAAAATACCATGCCTCGCTACACTCTAAATATGCTTTTCTTTTTTTCTTTTTGTTTTTGCTTAGGACCTACAGAGAAACACCGCCTTGATCTCACATTACAATGGAATTTAAGAAGCCACCTGACGGTGGCTGGGCCTGGGTGATTGTACTGGCCTCCCTCTTTACTCAGTTTTTGTGTTACGGATCTCCGCTAGCTGTTGGCGTCTTGTACGTAGAATGGCTGGACGCCTTTGGTGAAGGGAAGGGGAAAACAGCCTGGGTCGGATCCCTTGCAAGTGGAGTTGGCTTGCTTGCAAGTAAGTGGAGAAACTTATGCTTCTCCTCACTCGTTAATCATTTAATCACATTTGCTGCATTGTTCACATTGTGCAAGACATAGGAGGCTATTTTCTTTTTTTAAAGTATAGCACCTACTTTGCTGCCTTCACTGAGATTATAAACCACTCTTTCACTGTCATAAATCTATGTGACAATACAGGAATTCCATCAGAGATTCAGTTGTCCATTCATTCATTCCTTTATATATTTATTTGCTCCTGTGTGCCAGGCAGTGTTTTAGATGCTGGATATGAAAGGATGAATGGCAAACACATCATTTCTGCCTTTAAGTCTAGTGAGACAGTCTAGTGAGACACACGTTTCCACAAATAAGAAAGATACAGGGGTATGCGGGCAGTGATCCAGGTATGTCCGATGAATGCTGGTGACCAAAGGACCAAATATTTTTCAGCAGTCCTGGGAACAGTTCCTCTGTGATTCATAATTACTCCTCTCTGATTCGGATACACCGTGATCACACTGCATGTCCTACATTTGTGTCACCTTCTTAAGAAAAATTTGATATGACAAAGAGTAGTCCCTTCTCAACAATGATCATGACATTAAGGATTTAAATATAGTGTTATGTGTAAGATGTATGTGATGCATTTTGTGTGACTTTCATAAAATGTCTCCAGAAGTAATATTCTTTTTTTAAAAATTTATTTTATTTATTTATTTATATTTGGCTGCGTTGGGTCTTCGTTGCTGCGCGTGGGCTTTCTCTAGTTGCAGCGAGCGGCGGCTACTCTTAGTTGTGGTGCGAGGGCTTCTCATCGCGGTGGCTTCTCTTGTTGTGGCTCACGGGCTCTAGGCACGCGGGCTTTAGTAGTTGTGGCTCACAGGCTTAGTAGTTGTGGCTCATGGGCACTAGGTGCGTGGGCTTCAGTAGTTGTGGCTCGTGGGCTTAGTTGCTCCGTGGCATGTGGGATCTTCCCGGACCAGGGATCGAACCCGTGTCCCCTGCATTGGCAGGCGGATTCTTAACCACTGTGCCACCAGGGAAGCCCCAAAAGTAATATTCTTGATAAGCATTTATCAAGTGTGATATAATAGTGATTCTTAACATCTGTAGACAGCACAGTAGAGCGGCTTTTTTTTTAAGGACTAAAATCGTATGCACTTCAATTTCTGGAGTCATAGTTTGAGCTCTGCAGTAGTATTTAGTGATCATCAGTCTAACTTACTTGGAACTAGTTAAGAACAGACATGCTGTATACACACTACTGTATATAAAATAGATAACTAATAAGTACCTACTGTACAGCACAGGGAACTCTGCTCAATACTCTGTACTGGCCTATATGGGAATAGAATCTGAAAAAGAGTGGATATATGAATATGTATAACTGATTCAATTTGTTGTACAGCAGAAACTAACACAACATTGTAAATTAACTATACCCCAATAAAAATTTTTTTAAAAGAACAGATATGCTAAGATGTAGCCCTGGAGTCTAATCCTGAACTATGACCTTTACATGATTCATTGAGCAAATCACAATCTCTATTCTTATGCGGAAAATAAGGACAGTGAATGTGGTGATTTATAAGGTATTTTTCAACTCTAAAATGATTTACAAAGAAAATGCATTGGCCATTCCTTCTTTTAAATCTGTTATCTTTCCTGATCACTAAAGGGGACTTCTTAAAGCAAAACAAAACAAAAATCGTTGCTTCCAATTGATGAATTACTTTGTTAAATTAAAAAGAAGACTTGAAAAACAATGCTGGATCATGTGGCCATGTCAGATAAGAGAACGAAACGTAACTAAACAAATGAAAATAACACTGTCATTATAAGCGTCAGAAAAGCAGGAAACATTTGCCAAGATTTGTTTGAAAGAGTTTTTCAAAATGTGGATTGTTTGTAAAGCTGTCAAAGTACAAGTGGATGATGATTGATATGTTTGAGAATATAATTTTTAGAAAATGATCCGGTGAGAAGAGAATTTTTAAATGTCCTCCAATTAGTCATCATTTCTTTTCTGGCTGTGTCGGGTTTTAGTTGTGGCATGTGGGATCTTTGTTGAGGCATGCAGGATCTTTCACTGTGGTGCAGGCTCTTCGTTGTGGCGCGCGGGCTTCTCTCTAGTTGTAGCGGCAGGTTTTCTCTCTCTAGTTGTAGTGGGCAGGCTCCAGGGTGCGTGGGCTCTCTAGTTGTGGCGTGCGGGTTCCAGAGCACATGGGCTCGGTAGTTTGCGGCACGCAGGCTCTCTCATTGAGGCGCAAGAGCTCAGTAGTTGCAGTGCGCGGGCTTAGTTGCCTCGTGGCATGTGGGATCTTAGTTCCCCGACCAGGGATCGAACCCTGAATCCCCTGCATTGGAAGGCAGATTCTTTACCACTGGACCACCAGGGAAGTCCCAATTAGTCATCATTTCTATTAGCAAATACAAAGTTAAACAGAAATTCAATTACCTTGCCTTCCAGCACGGGTCAAAGGGTAATTGAAGTGCTATCTCTGTCAGCACATACTTGGAGAACAAAGCTCTTTTTCAGGAAGTCTGTCCAGGTAAGACTTGAGGGTTTGAGGTGTTCAGGGAAGCTGAGATCTTCTTAGGGATGGACGGGGTATTGGTGGTCAGAGCCGATGCTGAGACTCTGAAAACTGAACTGCAGCTCTCCACTTTCTGCAAGTTCCTAAGTGGATGGACCAGTCTGTCTCAGGGGCCACAAGCAGCCCCCTTCACTTGTAGGCGGGACCAGCTACATAATTTACAATACCACGTGCAAAATGAAAATGCAAGGCCTCCAGTTACAAAAGTTAAGAATTTCAAGACAGCAGCAGCAGGGCAGCAGACCAAGTGCATGGCCCTTCACAGAGCTGAGTCCAGTGCAGCTGCATTGGTTGCGTGCCCACGAGGCCAGCCCTGCTTGATGGGCTGGAGAGAGAGAGCATCCCAGCAAACGTCCAGGGAATGAACAAGTACTGGGGGAGTGTTGGGCCGAAGTCAGAGCTAATCAGAGTCCTGGCTGTACCACCCTGTAGCTGAGGGACCTTGTGCAAGTAACTTATCTTCAGTGTCCTCAGCTAGATGAGAAGACACTCGAAGCAGCTAATCAGAGCTTTTGCAAATAAACATAGAATATGGAGACCAAAGGGTTCCAGAATGAGGAAGCAGTGAGAAAAAAATGATGACTGGAGAGCTAAGACTTACGGGTGTGTGTTTGTGTGTGTTTGTGCACATGCCTGTGTGCACTTTAGTTAGTGGCCACTGAGTATCTGTGTTGTTGGCTTCCCTTGGCTCTTCATAGCATAAATGAAGGGACACATCCTGAAAGCTATGTCATACAGTATTAGCAAGAGGGGTCTAGCGGTGTCTGAGCCACATTCATCATCTACTTTGTGGACAACTTTCTTCTACACAAAAACAAACGGATCGGTCCTACCTTGGAAATAGGAAAAGTACATCTCATCATGATTGTCAGTGATTCTTAACCAGGGAGATAATCAGAATCATCTGTAGAAAGATTTCAGCGTATAAATGCTTGGATTTGACCCTCAGACATTCTAATTCAGTCAGTCTATAGTGGGGCCCACATACGTGAATCTTTTTCAAGCCCCCAAAGTGATTTTCAGTTGGGAGCTACCACTGGCTTAAGCCCTCTCTACTTAGATTGCAGTCTTGCCCTCCTTGGTGGTTCTCAAATGTATATTGGTGTCGACATATTTATAAAGGGAACTCTTGTAGGTTTCTGCTTGAACGTGTCACTGTGTATGCCATGTAAACCATGACAGATTGTGTCCAGTGGCCCCAATTCTGGGGAATGAACACATAAACGGACATCTTTGTATCCTTTTTGATAAAAATGAATTTAACTTATATATATATATATATATGTATGTATATATTTACATAAATACATCTTTGATAGTTGCTCTTAAAATCAGGAGTATATATGAATGACTTGAGCTTGTCTAAAAAGCCAGTTTCTTACTCATCAGTGCTGTGGGGTGGGGACGGAGGGTGGTCCCAGGAATCTTCTTTTTAACTAGCTCCCCAGATGATTCTGAGGCAGCAAGCCATATCGTAGCTGAGGAACGTGAGTTGTTTTCTTTACGCAGTTCTGTCCAGAGAAGGCCTGGTAGGTGTCATCCTTGACTAGTCCTGTGATCCGACCTCTGGAGATTTATAATTGAGTCAGCATAGCACAGGTACATTTGCTAAGCAACATACAAAGTCTGCTTTTCATGTACTTGTCCCTTTAGTTCAAAAAGTGCCCCTTGTGTGCCTGGCTCGATACCAGCCACCTTCACATACTTGATCCTGGTTGATCCTCATAATAACACCCTGAAATAGGCATTCTTGTCCTTAAGGTTTAGTGACCTGCCCAAGATGAACACATTGTCTAAGAGGAAGATTGGGGAAAAAAAAAAAAAAAGGAGAGAAACATTGACACCCAAGCAATGGTTTTTCTAACCTGTTAAGTCTGTTTCTTCATCTTTAAATTGGAGATCATAAAAGTACCTACCTGGGACTTCCCTGGTGGTCCAGTGGTTAAGACTCCACACTTCCACTGTAGGGGGCGTGGGTTCCATCCTTGGTTGGGGAATTAAGATTCTGCATGCTGCGCGGCACAGCCAAAAATATAAACAAATAAAAAATAAAAGTACCTACCTTATATGATTGCCATGTAGAATACTCGAGATGGTGCTTGTCATGTGGTAGGTACTCAACAAATATTAGTTATTAAAGAACAACAATCCCCCACAAATAAAATTACTCTCCCAGCCAAACTGGAATCTGCAAAAGAAAGGAACCCTTCAGCCTGCAAGACAAAGACATTTCTAGGGGGATGGGCAGGAGGGAGAGCTGTCAATATTGTATGTAAGCATCTGGAATTTAAAGGCCCACCCATTGTCTTTAACAAACCCAGATTTGGACAGTAGCTAAGAATAGCGGAAAGACATGCAATTCTTAACTTTATACTCTTTATAACCTTAATTCTTTCTCTTTGAAACTTGAGTAACTGAG